CTCCTGACCTCAGGTGATCTACCCACCTCGGCCTCCCAGAGTGCTGGGATTACAGGTGTGAGCCACTGCCCTGGCCTCATTAGTTTTACAAAGTTCATTTAGTTTTGGGGAAGGGATATTATCATTTAAATTGTAAACTACATTTCTCCCAAAGTTAGCTTGGCCCATGCCCAGGGATGACCAAGGGCAGGTTAGATTTTAAAGGCAAGATGGGGGTTGGTTAGATCAGATCTCTTTCATTGTCATAATTTTCTCACTGTCACAATTTTTGCAAAAGGATTTTCAATATTACCTTTCTTCTTAAGCGTTGCAAATATTTTTCCCAGTCTATAGCTTGTCTTTTTATTTCCTATGGCATATGAAGACTAAACTCTGATCCTGAAATTCCTATCTAAGGGGCCTGGGGAGTCATGCCCTACAAACCATAAAAATATAATTAGATTTTAAAAACTAACCTGACACAATGTGGCTTACTTTCCAACCTGACTCTGGTGTAGCATCACATGATAGATAGCAGGCACTGAAGGAAATCAAATTATTTTATCCCAAAATATATTTCTTTGACATATTTTGAGATGGCTGCCACAGGGCCAACACATTGAAATGGCTCTACAAAGCTGCCTTTTGCAGGGAAATTTTGCATCAGTAGAGAATCTCCATTAATGCACCCAGGCCCTCCCTTTCTAGGCCTTTCTGAGATCTAGGAGAAATTAACTGTGAGTCTGACATCTTTAAGGTCTGAGACATTTACCATCTATTCTCTCTGAGGGTTGCTACCTATGAGGCTTCATCTACATAACAAGGTCCTCAGCCCCCATAGCCCCCTTATCTTAACTCAAGCATTCCTTTCTACTGACTTCAGATCTCCAGACAACAGCTTAACTCTCTCAACCAATTGTCATCTAAAAAATACCTAAAACCAGCACAGTGGCTGACGCCTGTAATCTCAGCACTTTGGGAGGCCGAGGGTTGTGGGGGGATCACCTGAGGTCAGGAGTTTGAGACCAGTCTGACCAACATGGAGAAACCCTGCCTCTACTAAAAATACAAAATTAGCCACGTGTGATGGCGCATGCCTGTAATCCCAGCTACTCGGGAGGCTGAAGCAGGAGAATTGCTTGAACCCCAGAGGTGAAGGATGCAGTGAGCCGAGATTGGGCCATTGCACTCCAGCCTGGGCAAAAAAAGCAAAACTCCGGCCAGGCGCGGTGGCCCACGCCTATAATCCCAGCACTTTGGGAGGCTGAGGTGGGTGGATCACGAGGTCAAGAGATCGAGACCATCCTGGTCAACATGGTGAAACCCCGTCTCTACTAAACATACAAAAAATTAGCCGAGCATGGTGGCGCGCGCCTGTAGTCCCAGCTACTCGGGAGGCTGAGGCAGGAGAATTATTTGAACCCAGGAGGCGGAGGTTACGGTAAGCCGAGATCGCGCTACTGCACCCCAGCCTGGGTAACAAGAGTGAAACTCCGTCTCAAAAAAAAAAAAAAAAAAAACCTAAAACCCACCTATGACTTCCAAGCTCCCCCTTCAAGATGTTCCACCTTTTCAGGCCAAACAAATGTATACGTTCCATGCACTGACTGATTATTTTACCTGCAATTCCTATGTTCCTGAAATGCATAAAAACAAACTGTAACCTGGCTGCCTGGGGCACACTTTCTCATCACCTCTGAGATTCATATTGGCTCAGAATAAACATCTTCAAATATATTTTGGCAGAATTTGTTTTTTCCATCGTCACATATATTATCTTGTGGATTCAAAAAATTTTCTAATGGGCCAGGTGCAGTGGCTCATGCCTGTAATCCTAGCACTTTGAGAGGCCAAGGTGGGTGAATTGCCTGAGCTCAGGAGTTCAAAACAAGCCTGGGCAACATGGTAAAATCCCGTCTCTACAAAAAAAAAAAAAAAAATTAGCTGGGTGTGGTGGCATGCACCTGTGGTCCCAGCTACTCGGGAGGCTGAGGCACAAGAATTGCTTGAACCTGGGAGGTGGAGGTTTCAGTGAGCTGAGATCATGCCACTGCAATCCAACCTGGGTGACAGAGTGACACTCTGTCTCCAAAAAGAAAATACATAGTATACACACACACACACACACACACACACACACACACACACACACACACTTTTTTAAATGAGGTCTTTTTTATGGCTTCAGGGTTGTCCTTTTGGTTTATGCTCCACGATGATGTTATATAATATTCGTGTGTGTGTGTGTGTGTGTGTGTGTGTGTGTGTGTGTGTGTATTTTTTTTTTTCTTTTTTTTTGGAGACGGAGTCTCGCTCTGTTGCCAGGCTGGAGTGCAGTGGCATGATCTCGGCTCATTGAAAACTCCACCTCCCAGGTTCAAGCGATTCTTCTGCCTCAGCCTCCTGAGTAGCTGGGACTACAGGTGCATGCCACCACAGCCAGCTAATTTTTGTATTTTTAGTAGAGACAGGGTTTCACCATATTGGTGAGGATGGTCTTGATCTCCTGACCTCATGATCCACCTGCCTCAGCCTTCCAAAATGCTGGGATTACAGGCATGAGCCACCATGCCCAGCCCCTGTATTTTTTATTTTATTCTCATATTTAATTTTAATCCACTTGGAGTTTGTCATTATATATAATATGTAGGTGTCCAGGATTTTTTTCCTTACATCACATCAACCCTATCAGTTTTCACAAACTTAAAACACCACCTTTATATTATTTTCTATACATACATGGAAATACATTGGAACTCTGCCTTCTATTGACATTTTTGTCAACCATTATAACTTAGCATTAAGTAGGTTTATACTTTTTTTTTGCAGCAGGGTCTCACCCTATTTCCCAGGCTGGAGTGCAATGGCATGATCATGCCTCGCTGCAGCCTCAACTTCTGGGGCTCAAGTGACTCTCCCACCTCAGCTTCCCAAGTAGCTGGGACTACAGGCACACACCAAGATGCCCAGTTTTTTTTTTTTTTTTTTTTTTTTTTTTTTTTTTTTTTGGTTGAGATGAGGTCTTAGTATGTTGCCCTGGCTGGTCTTAAATTCCTAGGTTCAAGCCATCCTCCTACCTCAGCCTCCCAAAGTGTTGGGATTATAGGCGTGAACCACCATGCCTGGCCCCTCTCAACTTATTTTTTCACACTTTTTGAGCTAAACTTCAGACATTTAGTCTTCCATGTCCTGGGTGCGACTGGGTGGGATGGTGTGGACAGTAAAGGAATTTTACCAAAACAGTCATAGGTAAAGAAAGGCAGATTTATCAGAGAAAGTATGAAGATACGTTGCAAGGGTTCAATGGGTAGCACGGCAGAGAAGGGGCTATCTGCATAGAGGCAGGGGCTGGAGGGAAGTTTTATAAGGTTGTGCTGGAGAGGCTACTGCAGAAGGAGGTATTCAGGCATGGGATACGTGCCAGCAGGTTTGCGATTAGCCATCTGTAGAACAATTGTTCTCTCTCACCTGGGACCCCTTCCTTCTTGTTGCTTGATTATCAGGACTCCACATTCTATATGTTCCGATTCTGGATTTTTTTAGTTTCAGTGACCTCTTTAATTCTGCTGTATGTCACAGGATTTACTTTAGTTTATAATGCCCTCTAGTATCTTGTAAGATGAGTTTTCCCATGTTACCTCTATCCACCAAATACTCTTCATGGTTCATGTATTTTTTCTGCCAATTAAAATGAATCATTGTACTACAGGCTGCTGATCCCATTTAGCATACTGGTTAAATTGCCTTAAATCTATGGATTAGGTTTAGGGACAATCTGGGTTTTACAGTATTAAGTCTTCACTAAGGAGTACAGTTTATTTTCCTTTATATAGATGATGTCCAACCTTCTTAGGCTTATTTGTAGTTGTGTTATTGCTTTTTGAAGTACATCAATTTTCCTACTATATATATTTCAGTAGTCATCATTCGCATGTACGTTACAGCTAATCCAGATACTACAAAGCCCATAGTTGGTATCTAGCTAGGATATTCATGCACAATAGCCACAATACCATTTTCATTTCAGAAAAGAAAGTGATAATGCAAAGGTGGACTACAGACACTGAGGGAAAAAGGAACCTGGAAGATAGTATGCTAAATGAAATAAACTAGACACAGAATGACAAATACTGCATGATCTCACTTAAAGGTGAAATCTAAAAAAGTTGAACTCACAGAAACAGAGAGTAGAACAGTGGTTACCAAGAAATGGGGATGCAGGGATGTGAGGCAGGAAATGGGAAGATGTTGGTCAAAAAGTAAAAACATTCTTTTTTCTTGTTCTTGTTAGAGACAGAGTCTTGCTCTGTCACCCAGGCTGGAGTGCAGTGGTGCAATCTCAGGTCACTGCAACCTCTGCCTCTTGGGTTCAAATGATTCTCGTACCTCAGCCTCCCTAGTAGCTGGGACTACAGGTATGTGCCAGCACGCCCGGCTAATTTTTTGTATTTTTAGTGGAAACAGGGTTTCACCGTGTTGCCCAGGCTGGTCTTGAACTCCTGAGCTCTGCCAATCCACCGGCCTTGGCCTCCCAAAGTGCTAGGATTACAGGTGTGAGCCACTACATCCGACCTAAAAGGTAAAAACATTCTGAGATGAACAAGTTCTACAGATCTAAGGTACAGTATGGGTGGTGATGGATGTATTAGTCGATTGTGGTAATCATTACACAATGCATACCTATATCACATTTTTAAAACCCCCTGTTTTAGGTATTAAAAAATAAAGACATGTATTTTTTTTAAATGAAAGAAAAACATGGAGAAAAGAGGAGGCACATGTAACAAACCTAATGGTTTTCATTTGAAGGCAGTGGTTTTTAAACAAGAGCATTTTCACAAAAGGAATTAGAACATCTCAGTATTACATATATGATAAAATTCCCAAATAAATTTAGTCACAATAAAACAAGGTTGCTTATGCAGAATAAAAACCCTTGAAATACAATGTATGTAAAAATATTTTTACTATAGAGATTTTGAGGATAATTCCTACATATTTAAGAAAAAGGGAAAACTTTGGTTAATATTCAGACTTTATTCAACATCAGAAAATACACAATGAAGAGAAAATCTACAATTTAAATCAGCTTGCAGATACATTTGCTTCTGGATCACAACTTACTCAGCATTAGAAAATTCACACTGGCTGGGTGTGTGGCTCACCCTGTAATCCTGACACTGGAAGGCCGAGGACAGGAAGAGGACTTGAGTCCAGGAATTCTAGACCAGCATGGGCAACATAGCCAGACTCTATCTCTACAAAAAATTTAAAAATTAGCCAGGCATGGTGGTGCACACTTGTCCCAGCTACTCAGGAGGCTAAGGTGGCAGGGTCCTCTGAGCCCAGGCTATGGTATGCTATGATTATGCCTGTAAATAGCCACTGCATTCCAGTCTGGGCAACAAAATGGCATCCTGTCTCTAAAATAAATAAATAAGACAATATTTGGCTGGGCGCGGTGGCTTACACCTGTAATCCCAGCACTTTGGGAGGCTGAGGCAGGCGGATCACCTGAGGTCAGGACTTAGAGACCAGCATGGCCAACATATAGTAAAACCCTGTCTCTACCAAAAATACAAAAAAATTAGCCGGGCATGGTGGTGTGTGCCTGTAATTCCAGCCACTTGGGAGGCTGAGGCAGGAGAATCACTTGAACCCGGGAGGCAGAGGTTGCAGTGAGCCAAGATCACACCACTGCACTCTAGCCTGGGCAACAAGAGGAAAAACTCCTCAAAAAAAAAAAAAATATATATATATATATATTTGGCTACATGCAATGTTCTTATCACATCAACTGGTATTATGGTAAAGTTACCTTTTGAAAAGTCATCTGGCAAAAACAACTGTTAACATTAGATAGCAGTGACTTTGACAAAGCACTATACTACTAGGATAAAAATGACTGAAGAGATTGGCACAAAATGAGGAAAGGGGCTTCGTTTCTGAGAATACCAGCTCCACTCAACACTGGATACTCTCCTGCCTGTGGAAATCCACAAGGCAGTAGCAGAGAGTGCTGCACGTTTCACAGTGTTGGGAGAAGACAGTGAAAACCAACATTTACCAGGTGCCTGCCATGGGCTATTCCTGGGCTGAGGCTCTAAAGACGTTTCTTTGAACAATAACAGCAGCCATCTAGGATAGGTGGTCCTCAGCTATGGCAGAAAGGAGGGGACTGAGGCCTAAGAAGCTAGTAAACGGTGGATTCCAGTCTTCTCTTCCAATGGATTAGTAGACACCAATGGCCCAGGCAGAGTGTTTCTTGATTTTTGAATACTAACATCACGAATAGCAAATGCTGGCATGGCAATAAGAGTGTGCCCTACATCTGGTCACATCTAAAACACCAGCCCCTTCTCTTTCTGCAGAAACACTTGGTCTTACAGAATCAGGATATGGAGAGATGCTGGCCAGGGCCACCGACCAGGTGCTTCTGCAGTTTGCAGTTTCTCTACTGTCCTCAGGACACTGTCATACCATTAGCCCTTTCCTGCCTAGTGATAGTGATGTCTGAAGAGGTTATCAGATCACCTCTCCTCTAGAAATAAATAGGTTTGTATCTCTAAACCTGGCCTTCAGTAACAGATGCACATGAAAGTCTGAATGAGTGGTAATTCACTGCTCACATGTCCAAGGGACAACAGGCTCTTTTCCTGGGACTTGTACAGGATGCTTGGACAAGGTTACTTCCCAGGATTTGGCTGTATTGAGTTTGCAGATTTGGGCTGTAACTCATCCAAACTTATCTGGGGAATGCAAGTTAACCTGAGAAGAGAAAGAGGAAAAAGACCCATGTTTAAATGGAAATTAAATACGTATCTGACAGATTCCACAAATGTCTTGGACGCATCTATGAACAGTGTCTGGCACCAGCTGGCTCCAGAACAGAAAGGTTTGCTGTGTACCTGAGGGAGACTCGGCCATGACTTGACCCAAGGAGGACTGCTTGGTGACCAGGCAGGCATAGTGAGGATGGAGAACACACTTGGTCTCTTTCTCCCAGACCCAGACAGGGAACAGAACTTTCCTCAAGGCCACTACAGGCCTTTTCAGCAGGCCATGTTGCCACTGGCTGGCATTCCCAGAGAAAGCACCTCTCCGCTAAAAAGTAAAAACCAGGGTGTCTAAGATCCTAGGAATCGGACCCACCCACCCTAGATTCTTCCAGGGTGTCTAAGATGCTAGTAATCGGATCCCCTCCACTGGCTAGAGAACAATCAAAATGAGGCTTTCTTCCCTCACTCCGGGAGGTTGCTGGCTCTGAAGCCCGGCTCCAATGCCCCTCTTCCAGGTCACTTCCCCGACTGAGCCAGACCCTTTGCTCTTAGGACGCTGTGAGCCAGGCCGAGGGCCCCGCTCCGTGTGGCCTGCCTGGACCCTACAGGGCCGCGCTCAGGAGATGCCACTGATGCCAGAGGCGCAACTCTTTTTCCTATTCCCAGGAGCGGAATGCAGAAACAGTGGCCTTGGGGACAGAGGGGTGGGAACACCCCACGTCCACTGCCAAGAGAATGAAGTGGAAGAAGGGATTTCGGCTTCCGAGCCGGCAGGAGCCTGGCCACTGGAACGTCCGCGAGGAGTTCGCTCGTCTCTCGCTGCCCTGTCTCCCAGCTACGCCGCCCTGGTCCTTTTGTACGACTCACCGCTGGAAATGGTCACACGCTCCTTCTCCCCTTAGAGCGGACACTGTCATAACCACTGAAGCTCGGGCCAAAGGCCGTGTTGTCCCGCCTCCAAGCCACTGCGCGTGCGCATTGTTTTGACCTCAGGTTCCCAGGGAGGGGTGGGAAGCGGAAGTGCTCGGCTGACCCGGAGGCCGGCGCTAGGTTCACACTGGCTGCTGTAGTTTGTCCCTGAGGTGTCAACCTCTCGGCGCTGAAGTAAGCGGGACCGGGAGATGGTGATGGTTTTGATCGCGGGGCGGAAGCAATGACGGGGATTTATGGGGCCGTGGGGTCATGGGGCCACGGGTGAGCGCCCCTGTGGGGGTTGAGTGACACTGGCGGTGGGCGTGAGTGTTGGGGGCGAGATTCAGGGCCAGCGACTGATTAATTGAGTCACTCAGCACTTGTATCCTCACCACCTAGTAACTGCCAGGCACTCTTGCAGATGTTTCACATTAACCTTCACAGGAACCCTGTGAGGTGTTACGATGATTATTTTCACGTTATAGAGAGAAAACGACACGGTGTGGCTCGGCAACCTGTCCAAAGTCACGTAGGTAGCAAACCCTAGGGATCCTTTCTCTTTTTCTTTTCCTGTACTTGTTTATCATGTTTATTGTTTCCTGTGTGTCTCTTCTGCCAGACTAGAAATCTGGAGCTGGGATTTCGAGATTTTGTTCATTGATGGATTTCCAACACGGAGAACAGGCACATGGAAGGCACTCATTTCTTCAATGAATAAAAGTGGCACAGCAGGCAATCAGTTGGTTCCAAAGCCCGGACTCAGGAAGACAGGGTTTCGCTCACTGAGGATAATTGAGCTGTGCACGAATGTTAACCCTTAAAGCTAGAATGAGACATTGTCCCTTCGTTGCACAAAAATCTTTGTGTTTTACCCAACTTCACCACGTGAAGGGAGCATAGGTGTTGCTAATTGAATCTCCTGTGGTCATTGTGTTTTCAGGGTCACAGTGCAGACCTGAGACCGCTGCTCACGGACTTCAGACTCCAGTTTATCTGTGCCCCAGCTTCCTCACTTAGTCTCAGAAGACTTAGGCTGAGGCCCCAGGAGGAGGTGAGTTCGCTGGGTCACAGGCAGAGATCTGGTGCTACAGTGATGGTCCCAGCTGGGATGTGTTTGTCTCTGAATTCCTTGGTCCTGCCTCCTTGGACACAAGAGAGGTATGCTGAGCTGAGGCAATTTGGAGGAGCAGCCTCAGCCAGAGCCCAGACCTAGATCCTCAGGGCAGAGAAAGGAGGCTCACAATACAGCAGGTCCTAGAAGAGCTGGACCCCTAGTGGCCTTTGTCCCTCTCTTCAGCTGAGACAGCAAAGCTGGCTCAACTTCCAGGTGCCATCAAGGACCATGTGACAGTGCAGTTTGATTCCTGCTGGAGGAGGGACAGGTGAAAATCACAGGTGGATGGAGGCATGGATGCCCCCCATGGGGCAGGTGCCCTGCTGTAGTACCTGCAAAGGCAGGATGAGGCTGGGAAGGATCACAGCCAGCCACAGAGGACTTGGCCTCTCCTAGAACACCCATTCTCTTGCCATTGGCTGTTTCTCAATTTGAGTTGGCCCCACACTATCAACCAGGCACCTGCTTCCAGGGGAAATGCTGAGTCTCCCTCCATCCTGACCAAAGTGCAGAAAATATATTTTTAGTTTATAGAATTTCAGAGTAGTCTCTAGGTATGCTGTCATCCAGCTCCACTGCCTTATTTCGATGCTTAATGAAACTGGATCTGAAGACATGACCTGTTAACCTACACGGAGCTGAACCCCGTTGTCCTGATGCTGTCACAGTGATTGCTGCAGTATGAAACGGTTACTCTGCACAGAAGCTTCTTGCTGGAACTTTCTTTTGAAAAACTGCCAAAGAAGGAGCCTGGCAATCAAAACGCAGATTATGAGAAGGAAGTGGTGGGGTGGGAACAGGGTAGGTGGCCAGTTAGAGAGGTGGATGCAGGGGAGCAGGCACAGTGGTTTTCAGCCCCTCACAGAACTGACGCTGCTGGGCTGCTACCCACCCACCTGCACAGCACGCCTCCCTTGCAGCCCTCTGAGCCCTGGTTGGGCTCCTCCTCCAAACCACATCCAGAGATCCTACTCATACACACTTGCAGAGGGTCTTTTCACCTCTAGGGTTCTGTTTGATAAGAGGTGATTTAAAATAATTTTTAATTTTTGTTTCATTAGTAATTGATATTTGTTATCAAAAATGCAAATAAACAAGAAAATTGAAATCGATCAAGGTAACCAATGTCAGCATTTGAATAAATGCTGTTTTGAGGCCAGTTGTGGTGGCTTAGGCCTGTAATCCCAGCACTTTGGGAGGCTGACGTAGGTAGATCACCTGAGGTCAGGAGTTCGAGACCAGCCTGACCAACATGGTAAAACCCCATTTCTACTAAAAGTACAAAAAAATTAGTTGGGCGCAGTGGTGCATGCCTGTAATCCCAGCTACTTGGGAGGCTGAGGCAGGAGAATTGCTTGAACCTGGGAGGTGGAGGTTGTAGTGAACTGAGATCGTGCCACTGCACTCCAGCCTGGGCAACAAGAGCAAAACTGCATCTCCAAAAAAAAAAGAATAAATCTGTTTGAAACGTCATATTTGTACATATTGCTTAACAAAAATGAGATCCCAATGCCGCTGCTTTCTTGGAACCTCCCGTTAAACACCTAGGAACTGAAAACAAGAGTTCAGAAAGCATCTTTAAAGCCTGTGTAGTATGCTTGTTTGGCATGTGTCATATTTTATACTGAGTCCCATTTGCTGCACATTTAGTTGCTTCCAAGTTTTTTTTACTTTTTGTTTATTTTTGAGCAGGGCTTTGACATCATCACACAGGGTGGAGTGCAGGGATGTGATCGTGGCTCACTGTAACCTCGCACTCCTGGGCTCAAGAGACCCTCCTACCTCAGCCTTCTGAGTAGCTGGAACTACAGGCATGCACCACCATGCCAGCTAATATTTTAATTTAATTTTTAGTTTTGTAACAACAAGGCCTTGCTGTGCTGCCCAGGTTGGTCTTGAACTTCTGGCCTCAATCAATCCTCCTTCAGCCTCCCAGTATGCAGGGATTATAGGTGGATTTTTCATAGTGGAAATGACAACAGTGAACATTTGGCATCTTTGTGCTAGGAATAGAATTCTTGAGATAAAGGAGATGTTAAGTTGTTACTGGTTTCTGACATGGCTTTGGATACAAGTGATACATCTGTCCAGTAAGGGAGACAAAATTTCATGTGCAAAACCCACATGATCTTAGTAGCATCCCATGGGAATAGGCGGAAGCTACCAGGCCTTATTTTTAAATCATTCTTCCCAGGGTGCAAAGGTAATTATTAGGGTAGTGGCAACGGTCTTATGTCTATACCCGCTGAACTCAACACTTCTAATTCTGCCTTTGTAGATCTCCATCCTTTGGAGGAGCACAACAGAATGGCCACATCCCAGGTGAGTTCTAATGTACCCCTAGTTTTTTTCCAGTGAAATTGAGGCAGGGTTTGGAATCTATATAATAAACTTGAAAATACCAATTATCCCCTCTTCTCTGGCTGCTTTCTGTTCAATTTCTCCTCAGCCTCTGGTTTCTCTAATCCTTCCCCTTGCCAGCAGAGAGGAAAAACAGAAAAAGATACCTCTCTCTACCTGTTCTTCCGGGAACTGTACCTCATCTTTTCTTCTTCTCCTCAGAGAAGATTGTTTAAATACATAGATTCATCTTGCTTTTTCCCCTTTCTTCGCTTCTAGATCACTTGGTCTTTTTTTTACTATGTTTAAGAGAATAAGTTTGTGTATAATGTTTTAATGTGCATAGAAGAAACTAGTAGCCAATAAAGTTTCTATTTCTTCTCCCCCCAGTACCATGTTCTTCCTGAGAGATGGAGGAACATCTCCCACTATTAACAGTTGGGTGAAACTGTGGGGGTAGATGTATTTATGTCAGTTTAATGAACTAAAAATATACATATATGTATTGTTTTTTATGCTTTTACACAAATGGCATCGTACTCCCATACCCATCTTGCTTTTTGCACCTAATTATATCCTGGGTGGTGTTCCTTGTCAATATATAAAGACTGTGTTACTTCCTATTTCATAGTATGGATGTATCATGTAACTATTTTTCTATTCACAGATATTTAGGTTTTTACTTTCTTTTCTTTTCCTTTCTTTTTTTTTTTTTTTGAGACAGAGTTTTGCTCTTGTTGCCCAGGCTGGAGTGCAGTGGTGTGATCTTGGCTCACTGCAACGTCTGCCTTCCGGGTTCAAGTGATTCTCCTGTCTCAGCCTCCCAAGTAGCTGAGATTACAGGCAGATGTCACCACACCCTAATTTTTGTATTTTTAGTAGAGACAGGATTTCACCATGTTGGCCAGGCTGGTCTCAAATTCCTGACCTCAGGTGATCCACCTGCCTCGGCTTCCTGAACTGCTGGGATTACAGGTGTGAGCCAACCTGGCCTAATTTCATTTTACTATTGTAAACTGTGCTTCATGAACAACTTTCTCTGTGTCTGCTTGCTCTGTAGTACCAGTGTTTATGGAGGTTATACCTGGAAGTCAGGTTTTGACTAAAAGGTACTGAGACTTAAATTTGCCCTCTGAAATCCTTCATAATTACTCCTTTCACTAAATGTAAAGACTAGATAATTTCTGTGTTCCACTTTTCCAGTCTATTAAAGATGAAAAGGCACCCAATTCTTTTTGGGAAGCCACTTAACCTGAAGTTTGAGGAAGATACTACAAAAAAGAAAATTATAGACCAGTTTCCCTTAAGAATATGGATGTCAAAATTTAAAAAATATTCTGAATAGAGCACTAATAAATTGAACATTTAAAAGTAATACATACACATGGTAAAAATTCAAATGAAAGCTTTGTTTAAGAAAAGGCAAAAAATAATTCTCCCATCCTCAAGATTCCTTCATTTTTTGGTACAGTTTTTCAGAGAATGTATATGCTTATCTGTCTGGGTGTGTGAATCTCTTTTTCTGCTCACTCCTGTAAGTGGTAGCTCTCACTCTCACATTCCTTTTCTCTAACAAATTCGAGCTCATTCTGGTCCTTTTGGTCTTGTCTTCATGATCATTCCACTTTACTTGTATTTAGTTGTCCCTAGGGTTTCTCAGTGCGGCACTATTGTCATTGTGATTCGACCATAATTTGTTGTCGCTGCTTTCCTGTACATTGTATGTGTAGCAGGGTCCCTCGCCTCTATCTCTATTAGGTGCTGGTAGAATCCCTCCCCCAGTTTTGGCAACCAAAGTGTCTCTAGTCATTGGCAAATATCCCCTAGGGGATAGAATTATCCAATGTTTCAACCAGTGGTCTATCTCGTTTGCAGAAGCGGCTGCTTGGTATTTCATTGCACAGACACCAATATTTATTTACCTTTCTCCTAGTGATGAACATTTCAGTGATCACCAGTGGTCAATGAAAAAAAAACATTTAAGGTATTTCTAGTCTTTACCTGCTAT